AAGCGTTTGCCCCCACGCCCCGCCCCCATGACTGCCATTGGCAGGAATACTGGCCAATGGGACCCGTGAGGTGGTGCCTGCAAGAACAGGGCAGGGTCGAGATTCCTCTGCTTCCCCGCAAGCCACCTTAGATAAGTGCCTCAATTCCCCGCCCTCCTTCGATCCCTGCTAGAGCCTGCACCCCAGCCCCCATCTGTTCCTGCAGCTCTCAGCCCCCCCCCACTTCTGCACCCTCCCTCCCACCCAGACCCTGCACCCTACCTGCAGGTTAGGAACCCGCAACCCCAAACCTCAGGTATGGCCCTCTGTGGAGAGCCTGCAGCCCGTGGGGATGGGGGCCCAGAGCCTGCCCCTCCCCAAAGAGCCTACAGTGCGGGGCGAGGGGGGGGAGTCACTGCAAAAGGGGCAGCCCCAGAGCCTTGCTACCCCTAGACAGCCTGCAGGCTGCGGGAGAGGGAGGCTGCTGAAGGGGGAGGCAGCCTCTGGAGCTTAGTCTCCCCCAGAGAGCCTGCAGGCCGTGGGGGAGGGAAACTGGTGGGGCATGATAGCAGGGGAGCACTGCCCCAGCCCCCGGGGAGGAGTCTCTCCCGGACAGTCTGTGTAATCTTGCAGGATGTAGAGAGAACGAAGAGAGAAATGTTGTGAGCTTTGTCATGCAATACAAAAGCAGGGGTTCTATGGTGTAATTAACAGGAAGCGGATTGAATATGAAAAGAGGATTTAATTTTTTCATGTGGCAGAGCTCACCTGCGGAACTCACTGCCAGGGGATGTTGTGAGGGCCACAAGTACAAAGGAGTTCAAAAAAAGAACTAGATGCACGTATAAGGGGGATATAAAAAGAATTTGGTGAATCCGGGGGAATTCTCCATCAATGGCTCTTAACGAAGAAGATCAATGTCACATCCGCATGCTGCTGGTGCCACAAAGAATGGGAGGAGAGGACAGGGGATGGGTCACCTTACCGTTCACACACACACACACACACACACCCCGAAGTGGTGGTTTAGGCCACTGCTGGAGACAGGACGAGATGGACCATTGGTCTGACCCAGCTCGGTCGGTACTCAGGGCTGCGGGAACATTTTGTCTCCCCAGCTGCAGGAACGGGAGGGGGGAAAGGGTGGGGGAAGATTCCCCCAGAGATTTGTGACATTAGCAGAACTTTAAAGCAAGCAGCAAAACTTCCCTTAGAAAGAAATAAACCAGACCCCTGATCTGCTCTCCTGCTCCCCCCGGTCGCGGGCGGGGACCAGGGAGTATGTGCCAAGGAACCCCTCCCACACCGCACCTCCTAACCTCTGTCCCACATGGTCCCGGCCGTGAAGCCACCTGTGTGGGGACCCGAGTGAGACCAGCCTGGCTAAGCCGGGCCTAATCTCAGTCCCTGGCCGTGTTTGCGGTGGGGCGGGGTGGAGGGCCTGTGCTGGGCCAGCTCCATCCTCCGGGGCGGGTCTCCAGGCCAACACGGCCAGTAGCGGCCTTGTGGGTGTCCCCCACTGTGCTGGTGCTGGAACGGGGGGAGACGGGACACAGAATCCCTGCGCCGTGCCCTGAGGAATCCTGCCCCCGCCCGCCATACTGCTCCACAGTGCGCTCACGGCGAAGGGACAGGGCAGGCTGGGAGCAGAACACGCTCTGGCACCCTCCTTCTGGATCCGGTGGGGGATTCCCCTTGTGCCCCCTCCCTCTGGGGCAGCTGGCATTGGCCACTGTTGGTGGACTGGGCTAGATGGACCGTTGGTCTGACCCAGGGTGGCCGCTCTTCTGTTCCCCCTTCTCTTTGGTGCAGTCTCACAGTTGATTTGACTGGTGCATCGGTGCAGGTTTTGTGACCCATTGGTGACACCTTCTACGGGCTGCTCAGATGCAGCTTGCCGCAGAGCAGACGCACACACCGTCCTCCCTCCCGTGGGGACTTTACCTTTGTTCTTTCTTGCTTTGCTGTTCCAATTCAAATTAGCACAAGACTCACTCGCTCCAGCTGCCTTTTTTTGGAAGGAAGCAGCATTCCTGGAGCCAGCTCAGTCCCAGAATAAGTGAGACAACTTGCATGAAGAATTACGTCAAGTTCACGAAGTGAAAGGCCATCGTTACAATACAACGGCAATTCAGAAGAAAACCCGGCTTTCATTTCCAAGTCCCGAGGCATTTCTTTGATTCTTTCAGCTCAGCCGGGAGGCTTCAGATGCAGAATTAAAAAAACATCTTGATCACCCGCTTCAGGATCTCTTTTGTCATCATCCCATAAATAACGGGGTTTAACATGGGGAGAAGGAGCACATAGACGTTGGCCAGGAGGTTGAGAGTAGAACCAGGGATGATTTGTCCAAATTGGTATTTGCAGAAGGAGACAAAAGTTGGCAGGTAGTACAACAGGATGACACAGATGTGGGAGCCACAGGTGCGCAGAGCCTTGAGTCGGGCACCCTGGTACCGGCGCTGGAAGACGGCCCTGAGGATCAGCACATAGGACACAGCAATGAGCACAGCGTCCAAGCCGATTACTAAAATGGTCTTGGTTACGTCGTACCAGATGTTGAATGTGATGCTGTCGCAGGCCAGCTGGGATAGGGTCATGTACTCGCAATAGATGTGAGGCAGGAGGTTATTTCCGCAGATCTTCATTCGCATCACGAGAAAGACAATGGGGAAAGCGAAACAGAAACTCCTTGTGAGAACCGCCAGCCCGATCTTCCCGACCACAGGCTTGGTGAGCAGGGTGGTGTATCTCAGGGGGTTGCAGATGGCAACGTACCGATCAAACGCCATGGCCAGCAGGATGGCTGATTCTGCGAAAAAACTCACATAGATGAAGAATATCTGTGTGAGGCAGGCAGCAAAAGAAATTTCCCCTGCTCTGAACCAGAACAAGGCCAGCATCTTGGGCACTGTGGTGTTGGATAACAGCAGGTCTGCAGCAGCCAGCATGGAGAGGAAAAGGTACATGGGCTCATGGAGGCTTCGCTCTGTCGCTATGATGTAGAGGAGGAGAGAGTTCCCCAGAAGCACCGCAATGTACATCAGACAGAAGGGGATGGCGAGCGAGACCTGAGACTCCTCCGTACCCGGGAATCCGGTCAGGATGAAGGTGACGGGGGTAAAAACGCTGTGATTGTCAGCTGGCATCATGCACAGACTCGAGACTCCTCCGTACCCGGGAATCCAGTCAGGATGAAGGTGACGGGGGTAAAAACGCTGTGATTGTCAGCTGGCATCATGCACCGTCCTCTGCAGTTTCTATTCCGTTTCTAGGAGCTAACACGGAAGAGAAAATCAGTGAGACCTGGAGGGGCACCGGGGGACCGACTCAGAGACACCAGCAAAAACGTCTTTGTGCTGCCTGTCGGGTGTGAACAGGAAATCTACACACACTTTGGATAACAGCAGGTCTGCAGCAGCCAGCATGGAGAGGAAAAGGTACATGGGCTCATGGAGGCTTCGCTCTGTCGCTATGATGTAGAGGAGGAGAGAGTTCCCCAGAAGCACCGCAATGTACATCAGACAGAAGGGGATGGCGAGCGAGACCTGAGACTCCTCCGTACCCGGGAATCCGGTCAGGATGAAGGTGACGGGGGTAAAAACGCTGTGATTGTCAGCTGGCATCATGCACCGTCGAGCCGCAAGGAAGCGCTGAAATGAGGAAAGGGGCAAAGTTTTTTCCAGGATTTGGCCCTAAAGATGTCGACAAATCTCACCCACAGGCAGACCACACTGCACGGCTGTACTGGGACAACTTGGTTGCTCAGGGGTGTGAAAAAAAAACCCCTGAGTGACGCGATTACACCAGCCCAGCCCCCGTGTGGACACAGCTGCTGCCTGTGTGGGAGCGGGATTAACGACGCAGAGGGGAGAGATGTCTGCCGGAGCCAGGGGGTTCTTCCTTAGGGCTCCGGGTCGCATCAGGCAGCTCTGTCAATGCAGCATTTTACCGGTAGAGCTGCCCCCGGCCCGGCGCCAGAGAATTGCCGCGGGAGGAGGGGGCACGTCGGGCTCACCCAGCCCTTGTCATCGGTGGCCCCTAAGCCCCACAGTGGGACAGTCCCAGCTCTGCGCCTACGCCCAGCTGATCTCTACGGCTGGGTCAGGGCCGTTCCGCATTCTGAGCGCAGACGGTGAGGGCCCACCAAGCTCAAAAAGAAAAAAAAACCTTTGCCTACAGACACTGGTTACAAAATGTTTCCCCGGAATCACAACACACAGGCTGTGTCTAGCCTGACCAGTTTTTCCAGAAAATCAGCCGCTTTTCCGGAAAAACTTGCCAGCTGTCTACACTGGCCACTTGCATTTCCACAAAATCACTGACTTCCTACTGAAAGAAATCAGGGCTTTTTGTGGAAATACTGTGCTGCTCCCGTTCGGGCAAAAGTCCCTTTTGGGCAAAACTTTTGCGCAAAAGGGCCAGTGTAGACAGCTCAGATTTGTTTTGCGCAAAAAAGCCCCGATGGCGAAAATGGTGATCGAGGCTTTTTTGTGCAAAAGCACGTCTAGATTGGCACGGACGCTTTTCTGCAAAAAGTGCTTTAGCGGAAAAGTGTCCGTGCCAATCTAGACTCTCTTTTCCGAAAATACTTTTAAGGGAAAACTTTTCCTTTAAAAGCATTTCCGGAATATCATGCCAATCGAGAAGTAGCCACAGAGTTTGGGGAATCGCTGCCCCCATCAAGTGATTTGTATCCCTGAAACCTCCGGGGTGAGCACTTAAACCCCCCGCAGGGGCACCCCAAGCTCTGTTGCCCTGAAGGAGCTTGAAAAAAGAAAACAGGCAAACAATCTGCAGTCTCTCCTAGCTCACCTCTCAGTCGGAGGCCTGCAGATACACAGACAGACCTTCCAGGACTCAAGAATCAAATTGTCACCTAAAAAAAGTGAGTTTTATTACAAAACAGAAGAGAAACTTGAGACACCCGCGTCTACACGTGGCAGAGAAGCGGGATTCCGAATTAGTTCAAATGAACCATTAAACTTCATTCCACGAGGAGTAACAGTTAAGTCGAACTAAGGGGTTTATCTCGGAATTCGCTTCTCTGCCGTGTGTAGACGTGGGCAGTTACTTCAGGCTGGTCAGTGTCCAAAATGGCGACGGCTGGGAATATATTAATCAAGCGTGGGACATTTAAATCCCGTGCTTCATTACTAATTTCGGTCGTCCTCATTAGCCTCCCTAGTTTGAACCAGGCAGCTCGTACCCTTATTTCCTTCTAATTTCTCGTTGCTCAGTCCTCTCCTATGCCCTGAATTCCTCGGAGGCCTGGCA